CTTTTTAGAGTGGTCAGCAGTGGTAGCTGGGCACCATCTAGTTCTGGTCTCAAGGTCATGGAGGGTGGGGTTCATAAGTCCTTTAGTCCTTTGGACTGATTGTTTCCTTGCGTCTTTGATTTTCTTCACTTGTCTTTGCTCCAGATAGGGAGAGACCAATAATTAATTACACATTAAATGACTGCTTACAAACTTTTAAGATCCCAGTTGCTACTCACCAAAGTACTATGTTGAACATTGTCCTTGCAGACTACATTAAGCCAATTGACCTTGGTGTCCCCGAGATTATGGTCTTGAGCAGCTGGAGTCTGCAGGATAGGGCACCAAAGAGAATAAAGCTACATACAGAGAGAACTCTAGAGATCTGCATAGGGTCCCCCTTGACTACTCAGCTGGGTATTAAGCAGTTCATGATTATAAGGAAATTACCGAAAGCTGGTGAAAGAACTGCTTGAAAGGATTTGAGGTCACAGTGTCCAGCACTTACACAACACTTCCCCCTTCCATAAACCAAACTGAAAAACCATGAAGTATTGAGTAGAGTACTCAAAAACATCATGCCTCAGATAGCCCTAAACTACATGGTATGGTTCCACCTAAAAAAATCTTAAAAGAAGACCTGAAAGAATCACATAACCACATTCCAGGGGGAAAAAAATTAAGAATATTAATAGGAATTAAATGATGAAGAAGATAAATGAGAAGGAATTCCATTCCAGGATAGTGACCAAAGGAACTCCATGGACCTGCTCCTCAGCAAAATAATCAAAACTGGTAAAAACTACTTAAATAAATTAACCATGAAAAGTCTGTGGAAGTTGTCCTAACAGCATACAACTAATGAAACATTTATTTCAGAACATCTACTAAAACTTGTTAAGATTAGCAAGACTCTGGGGCACTTGAACCATGATCTACTTCCTCCCTCTCCGCACCCTCAATCAGCTAAGCTTGACAAAAGTTCCACACTGGATTGATGTAGCCAAGAAAATGGGAGTCCCTATCCCCTCAGTTTTAATCAAGAGATCCAGAATTTCACAGGGAGGAGCAGCATTTCTCATCACCTCAACTCCAAGTTTAAGAGGCTAATTTCATGATAAGTACACTCAGTCAAGAGGGGCTCTCTCTTTCACTCAGCCCCCATTCATAAGATAGCAGCCTATGCTCAAGCACAGCAGGCAGATAATACTGCAACCTTAATCACCCTCAACCCAGCTTGCTTGAATTTCCGTAACAGGACAGGCAAGACAAGAAGATCAGAGTCTACCACCCTGCTCAGTGCCCAGAGCAGTGAGTCAGAGATTTTGCACAGGGGGAAGAGTCAGTCCCTTAAACAAGAGAAGATCAAAGTACTCCCCAAAGGGACTGGCCTTATTTGAAAAAGTATAGGGTAGCAAAACATAAGGACCTGCTCAAAAAACAATGAAGATTTTGGTGTTAAGCAAATATGGGGAAGAGTAGCTCTTCATAATTAATAACAACAAGATAACTACCAGCAAACTAGTCATCTGAGAGAGCTACGGAAACAAATAGCTAAAAAGAGCCAGTCTAAAAACAAATTTAATTTAATTGGATAATATTGTGGAGCAAATTATGGCCCAGACATTGATGAAAACAATAGAGCAATCAGTAAGCAATTAGTGAAGTCCTGGAAGTGTTTAACAGCAAAGACATCACTTTGAAGACTAAGGTGTGCCTGACCCATCCATGGTATTTTCAGTAGTCTCATATGTATGTGATAGCTGAACCATGAATAATGAAGACCACAGAATTGATGCATTTGAATTGTGGTGCTTGCAAAGAATATTGAATATACCATGGACTACTAGAAGAACGAACAAATCTGTCTTGGAGGAAGTATATCTGGAATGTTCCTTAGAAGCATGTATAATCAGATTTGTCTCTCATGTTTCAGTTCTGTTGTTAGAAGGGACCAGTCCCTGGAGAAGGATATCATGACAGGTAAAGCAGAGGGTCAGCGAAAAAGGGGAAGACCTTCAATGAGATGGATTTGATGTAGAGGCTGTGACAATGGGCTCAAGCATGACAATGATTGTGAGAATGGCATAGGACAGGCAATGTTTCACTCTGTGGTTGCTATAAATCAAAACTGATTTGATGTCACCTAACAGCAACAGCAGATATTAGTGAGGATAGATTATCAATAGTTGCCTTCAGTAGTCTTTTAAAGCTTGATTCCTTGAACCAAAAGACTTCTGAAAGCTACTAAAGATAAATAGAGCCCAGTGGTGTAACTAGGTTTGGTGTGACCCAGTGATGTCACCCCTCCCACCCACCGACTTCCTCTTTTACCACATAATACAGAACCCTTAGTAATATTTATTACCAATTTTAATTATAAAATGTTATGTGATAAATATAGTTATAAATGGTTTAAATGTAATATTTCTTAGATTATATGAATACTGATAACAAAATTGTCTTGTAAAATCTTTCTACACTGAAATGCAACATTATTAGTATAATATTATTAGTAACTGAGCAGAAGCCTTTTTTTTTATTTTTCTCCTTTTTTTTTAATTATTACTTCATTCTCAAAAAAATTTATTGAGCCAGGTTCACAAATACTAATTACCACAGTCTTAAAGTTAAAACACCAGAAAATTTGAGAAAAAAAGGGGACTACGAAAACACCAGCAGCAAGAAAAACAACAGCATGGGCTTGTAGCGCATGCAGATGAAATAATGTAATGCAAAGCATCACTGTAGTTGGTAACAATGACAGCTCTGACTGTACCACATTACAACATTCAAAAAGTAAATTAGCATAAGAGTTTTAGCTTTGTACCACTTACCGCCATGTAGTCAATTCGGACTCGTAGCAACCCTATAGGACAAAGTAGAACTGCCCCATAGAGTTTCCAAGATGTAAATTTTTATGAAAGCAGACTTTCATATCTTTCTCCTGTGGAGTGGCTGGTGGGTTCAAATTGTCAACCTTTTGGTTAGCAGCCAAGTGTTTTAGCCACTGCACCACTGGGGCTCTTTTTTTAGCCTTGTAGGAGTATTGATAAGTATAAGCTGGGCTTACAAAAAAATGATTTTGGTGTTATAACAAACTACTGAGATATTTCTATTAAAAATAATAAATTCCTGCTGAAACACTGCATAAAAATTTCAGATAGTCATTTTGGTGTCACCTTCTCTGACAATGTCATCCTATGTGGTCCATACCCCCTGCACTGCTCTAGTGATGCCACTGACAGAGCCAACAGGGAAAAAAAGAAAGAAAGAAAGAAAACTACATTGGACAGCAGAATTTCTTTTTATCTTGGCCTGATTCCTGAGTTCCACTTTCTTCCAACTCTGAACTAAGGACCTGAAACCCCATTATGCATTGAAGCAATATAATTTGTACCTCAAAAGTTCTTTCTTTTGAGGAGGGGGGTATACCCAAGTGGGGAGTAGTTTCATTTTTCAAACAAGTAAAAATAGAATATTGGTGTCATATACTTAACACTTCAATCTCCACAGAGATCATCTCTGTCCACATATTTAACAGGAATTGAAAAACTGAGATAAATGCTTCTGTATTAGAACATTTAAGAAGTTCTGGTGGGGCAGTGGTTGAAGCATTCAGCTGGCTGCTAACCAAAATGTTGGCAGTTAGAACCCACCACCTGTCCACAGGAGATGATGAGGCAGTCTGGTTCTATAAAGATTTACAGTCTTGGAAACCCTATGTTGTTGCTGTTGTTGTTAGGTGCTGTCAAGTTGTTTCGGACTCATAGCGACCCCATGCACAGCAGAACAAAACACTGCCTGATCCCATGCCAGCTCCACGATCCCTGCTATACTTGAGCCCATCATCGCAGCCACTGTGTCAATCCATCTCGTTGAAGGCCTCCCCCTCTTTCGTCGACCCTCCACTCTACCAAGTATGAATGTTCCCTTCTGACAACATGACCAAAATAGGTGAGATGAAGTCTGGCCATTCTCACTTCCAAGGAGCATTTCGGATGGACTTCCTCCAGGACAGATATGTTAGTTCTTTTAGCAGTCCATGGTACTTTCAGCATTCGTTGCCAGCACCACAACTCAAAAGCATCAACTCTTCTTTGGTCTTCCGTATTCATTGTCCAGCTCTCACATGCATACAAGGCGATTGGAAATATCATGGCTTGTGTCAGGCCCACCTTAGTCCTCAAGGAGACATCCTTGCTCCTCAGCACTTGATACAGTTCCTTCATGGTTGACTTTCCCAATGCTACACGTCTTCTAATGTCCTGACTGCTGCTTCCATTGGCATCAATTGTAGGACCAAGCAATGTGAATTCTTTGACAACCTCAATCTTCTCTCTATTTATTGTGATGCAGCTCACTGGTTCAGTTGTGAGGATTTTTGTTTTCTTTATATTGAGACGTAATCCATGGAAACCCTATGGGGGTTTTATTCCATCCCACAGGGTCGCTGTGTCGGAATCAACTCAATGGCAGTGGGTATTAGAATACGTGAAAGTTAAATACTATCCTTCCAAAATGAAAAGTGACAAATTTGTTTTCCTAGATACTTTCCTATGAAAATCAATTCCTTTGTTGATATTTATTTCAGAAAATCTCTGATCTGGTAAAAAGGGTATTAAGTGTGGGTGACTATGACTTTGGACAAGTTGTTTGACCTCTTAAACAAAGTGCCCTCCTTCATATCCTTGCAATAGCAAAATGTGGTCCATAAACTAGCAGAATTGGCATCCCTTGGGAACTTGTTACAAATGCAGAATATCAGGTGTCCTATACTCAGTGTTTTGTTCTGTTGTACATAGGGTCACTATGATCAGAGGTGACTCAATGTTACCTAACAACAACAACCTACTCCAGAATAGACCTACTGAATCAGAACCTACATTTTAACAAGATCCTAGGTGATTCATATACACATTAAAGCTTGAGAAGCACAGCTCAATACAGTAAGGGGAGAACTTCAGAGATAAATCATACTTGTTTTTCTAGGTGAAAGAAAAAAAAAATTGTTCATTTACCTTGATGGAAAGTAGTGAGGTCCAGGTAAGAAGTAAGGGTGATGAAAAGAGAATCTTGGTGGTGTCCCAAACAGTGTGGCTGGATGGCCCAGGGGAGGGGGTTGGTAGACATGTGAGTGTGGAATGGGAGGAGCCTGGGGGATTGCAGCACTTCTGGGGCAAGTGGAAACACTGGGATACTCCTTGGGAGCCTGGATGGTTGAAGTTGCAAATCTAGCATGGGCAGTACTTGCACTAGTTGGAATCCTGTTGGTACTCTCCAGAGAGACAGGAGTGGGTCTCTTCACAGAACGATTGGCTCCAGAATGTAGCCGATGAGTGTCCGTTTGGGAGGGCCCAGCAAAGTGCTGGGGTGGGAGCGCTGGACCAAGGGGTAGACTTTGATTCTGGACAGCCACCTGGGCAGAACTGGAAACACTGGGCTGGAAAAGTGTGATGGGGCTTGGGCACTGGACTGCAGATGTGGGCAGCTGGATGGCAGGTGGGGCTTCACCTTTAGAAATAAAGATAGCACAGGTCAAGCATTAATTAAGTCACCTCTTTTTTCAGTAGAATTTGGTAACTGTACAACCACAGGTCCCCACTAACTGCCTTACCTAATAGCATCACTACATCTAATTATTCTTTTTATTTCCCTTATAGCATTTTTAACAAACTGAGGTTATCTTATT